TTTCAATGTACATTTTTTATAAACAATTAAAATTAAATTTATAAATAATTATAAGTTTTAATATTAACCAATAATCCATCTTAGGCTGTACACAGAAAGCGGGAAGACTGAGTTTGATCTCGTGACTGACACGGTTTTTCAATTTTATTTTAAATGGTGTAACGTAATTGAAATATACATACACCTTTTGCATTAGATGATATATCTAACTTAAACATCGTCTGCGTTTATAATGGAAGAAACTAGTAAATATTTGCGCTTAATAAAAAAAATAAGTAATAACAATCTAACATAAGAGTTATGGTTAATAGTAATTTATTACTATAAATGCAGTTAAAACATATATACACGATTCTAAACGATTCAAATTCAACTTTGAACTTGATAACATTTACAATAAACCACAATAACATTTCTTTTATTGGTACTTTTAATTTTAAATCTAATCTAAAACCCTAAAATAATTATATAACATTTAATTAATATTTCCGTGAAAAAGAATAAGTAATAATAAAAAAAAATGTCAGTTAAGTAAAAATTTAATTAGTATGACCTTTGTATGTATTTTATTAATTATAATTGCATTTAGAAAGATTCAACTAAAGTCAATTACTTGTTTGGAATGATAAAAATATTAATTCCCAATTCATTTTATTACTTATTTATTCTAAATCCAAATTTCATTGTTGCTTCATATGTTTTATTCTTTATTACTTTGTTAGAATTTTAACGCGGCAGAACCTTTTTGATAATTTGATAGTACTAGACTTGTATAACTTTAGCGACGCATAAGTACCGCAGCAAAAATAGCATTTATTGTTGCAAATAGTTGTTCATACAAATATTCTAAATATTTGATAAAATAAACATTTTGAAATAATGTTCTAAATAGTGAAAATAATAAAATCTTGAAATAATATTTAAAAAATGTTACATGTGTTTTTCGATATTGCTAATTATAATGAAAAATGATTTGACAACGAGTAAAAAGAAATCTATTTAAAAGTCACAAAATTACATACAATTGATTCTTTTGAAATTTTACATACTTGTAGATTCATATACGATTTATCGATATTTGGCGTTGAATTTTTATCCAATGCTAAGAAAAAGAGGGTGAGGAACTATCTTTTCTTTCCTTCTTTCTCTCAAAATGGACACAAGAAATAACAAGAATTATTCACTTCTATAAGTATCTACAAATATGTAAAATTTGAAAAGTCATACATATTCAACAGTTGTAACATTTTATGTTCAAGTCAACAGCTCCAGAAATGAATTTTAGAATTGCTCTTGATTAACTTATATAATCAAGCTTTTATAATGTTTTGAGGTTCTTTTAATTCCTTTCTTTTCAATTAGTGTTTTATTGTTATAAAATCCAAATCTTCGTACTTAAGTTCAACGTCTGCGATAGTATTCAGAGAATTCTTTCATAAAAGAGAAGATAGGCTTGACTTTGCAGCACAGTTGTTTCATCGACTTCCATTACCCTAAAAAATGAAATTAAGTTATCTAAAAAAATATCTAAATTTCTACATTTAAACCATTCCTTTATCTCTAATAGTTTCTGAGATATTGAACTAAATAGGTTTCGACACTCCAACTTTGGGGCTGTTTTCACCCCGTCAATATGAATGTTGACCGATAAAAGAAAATACGTGTTAATAATTTTTTTCGAGAACTACATCATATGTAAGTTTCAATAAAACCAGTAAGTGACATTTGGGGATGTTCTCTTCTAAGACAAAGTAACTTTTCATATTCATTCCATCTTATTCAATGATTACTTCATATAGAAGTTTTCCACAATCACTGTATTTGATTATCAGTTTTAATTTTAAAGACAATAAACCCTTGCTTATATTTGTAACTATAATAAAAAAAAAAATATATACCTAGAGTCCGAAATATGATACCATTTACCAGGTGGCGGTTCCACTGTTTCTTCTGCATCAGAATCAGAACTCGAAGCATATGGGCTTTCTTGTGAATCTTTAACATCTTTTGATGGCAAAAATGACCATCGAGGATCATCTGGTGTTAACGGTAATCGCGACTGCAAAAAATTTGTAATTTTTCGGATATCTTTAGCAATATATTATATTGATTTATAAAATTTTAAAGCAAATTTTTAATATCTAAATAATTACCTTTACATAAGCAACATAATGTCCACCATGAATAGTTCCACTATGTTCAACAACACCATAAAGTGCATAAATTCTAGCTTTTTTATGATTCTTACAGATAGGTGCTAGATCGAGCAATATTGGAAATGAAACATGTCTTGATACTTTGCGAAAATCAACTCGTTGCGCTTGCATTCTTTTTAGGTGAAGGATCAAAACCGCAGGTACTCGGGAGATCAAATATTGTTTTGTACTTGGAGTACATACCATCTTATAATTCTCTCTCACCTGGAAAAAGTGTTCCCATTATATTGGGAAATTCAAGACTGTATTCTTTATGTC